ATTATTGACAGGTCAACTAAATTCTTTTCAAAATACAAACACTCAATCACTTGGTCAGTCCGCTACAAAACAGTTTCATATCATTTTTCAAATGTTCAAGATTTTCATCGTAGTACTAATTCCTTCTCTACCTACACTTAATCAAAGTTATAAGTATACATCTTGATTTTAACATCTTAACAGAAACGATGTATATTAAATTCCTAAGTTTAATAAAATGTAGCAGTTTTGTTAAATGTTGGAGATGTGTGTGGTCACGAATGATCATTATCATTTAACATTTTACCTCAAAATATAATTGTTTGCCGTCGCTTTTTGGCGGACACAACATTTTTTTTCTATTTCAACTCACAAACTCATCGAGAAAAGTCACCAAATTTGTAAAGTGGAAAATTACATATGTATGTTTCCATGGCAACAGTAGTAAGATGCCTTAATGCTTGATAACTATGCAATACCTAAAGGTTATGCTGTCGGGTGACGCCAACTGGCCACAACATGTCTTTATCAAGTAAAATCGCCATGTCAAGCCTCCGCCGAACATGATTTGCTTTCAACAATAAGTTTACACTTGCCTTGTTCAGGCTGGACCACTGTGAAGAGGGTTAATAAACGGAGATAAGGGGAAAAACTTTGATTTTCTAGATCTAACTAAACTAAACCAGTTAAACTATAGAGAAGGAGTAGATCTTTATTAGCCTAGCCCAGTCAACAGCAGATTGGCGACATACTTCACATTGTTGGTACAACACATTATAAACAGAAATGATAAAAATGTTCGTTCTCTCAATAACTAATTTTAACCAGTACTTAAAGATTCTGATAAAATTCTGTATTTCTATAACAAACAGATCAGATCTCCATATGTGAATATATTATTGTTTACAAGACTTTAAATGTGACCATTTTTTAAGAAATGCTGCGTGAAAATTCCTTCACCACACTAGCATAACATTGTGGTATTTTAGAAACAAATTTGTATATTTGCTTTAATTCGGAAAATCACGTTTTGAAGGATACTGGGAATGTTGCAGCGGCTAAGCAGTCTTGACAAAAGACGTTTGAGATTCATTTTCTCTTTTAAAACTGATGCTAGCTATATTGCTTCTCAAGTTTTCATACTCTACATATATATCTGAATTTGTTACCATGGTTATCACACTCATTTAGTGCATCTTTTCCATAAAAACCACATTCAAGGAGTGGTGCCAATTTTGGTTATGCCATGCCGCCTATTCAGTGACAAGCATTTTTTTGTTCGGCTACAAACCTATTTCGTTTGCTGGTAAAGCATGCTATTTAACGGTACCTGATGGAGAGGGGTGAAAGATAAAGATGTTTGAGTCAACCAGGTAGTTTGTTTTTATATATATTCCTGTTAAATACCAATAAGATTTAAAGGAAGTTAACATAAGCAGAAAATTGGGTCACAGTCACACGATTCCATGACTGGTTTGCTTTTACATCAAATAGATTAAAGCACCCTAACACCTTTCTTAAATTTCTTTAATTTATTTGATGATTGAAACCGCAAGAAAATAAGAAAAAGAAGGGAAAACAATTGTTAAAACCATTAAACTGTCTCTAATGTTTCGGTCAGGTAATTCAAAATTAATAGAGAGAAATTTCTAAATCGATATCGGGAAATGCAGTGGTTCTTTAATTTAAAAAGAATGACATAATTCTCATATATCTGATAGTTTAAAAACAAATCAAACCAATGAGTATATTCTGAGCATTGTTTTTACCTTAATGAATCTAAGCGTGGCATGTAGGTTAATAAATTAGTAAATGGAAAAGCATCGTACGGAGGATCCTCTGTGTGGAATTAGGATTCGTTTTGAATAACGACCGACTCAGTGGTTCAATGGTATAGGGATCAAATTTATTATCAGCACAAAGAAATCCCTAAAAAGACAAAAACACGGGTATACAATACGAGCACATCAAACTACTTTTACAAAACGTTATCGAACGCTCTACACAATTACGTTACAATACATAATGCGGACCACTGGACATCTGAAGTAAGAGTTAATATACGTGAATGTGTAAAATACGAAAGACTGAACTTGTAAAGCAATAGTAATAACTAATGAGTAATAATAATTTACAAATAGTTCACGGCAACTTACCCTGCATGTGGTGCTGGAGATGTATACTTGTATTTCAAATAACGTCCAACCCCTTTGAAATCTGCTGCCCAAGTGTAAAGAAAGACAGAAAAGCGGGAAAGGACAGGAAGATAGACAACGGGCATGTGTCCGGAGTGGTCAGTCCGGTCAACAAAAGAATACAACACATCACATAACACCACACACAATTACACACATTACATAACCATACGCAATATGCCTAGCACGGGCCGCAATCCAAAAAAATATCAACCGAAAGTGACGGTCACGTGATCTAGCGACACGAGGCGATAATGCTAATTAACAATTGTTACAACTGCCATGGACAGTATTAAACCAAAGAAACTATTACCGTTTCAAATATTAAATCATTTAATCCAGGGGCCACATCTGTACAGGATTTAGATAGGATCGTTCACTTGTCTTTGATCCAACCCTTCATTATACTGATAAATCAGATGTCTTGTGACTAATATTGTTACAACTTAACGAATCCAGAAATATATTGTCATTAAGATAAGAAAAATAAATATTTCGAATTAAGCATTTTATTTTTTTACAGTATATGCATTAGAATCACCATTCTTCCTTAGCAACAGCACAGGCAATTGGTCAGAAGGCGAATCCTATTGTCTGGAACACAATGGCCGATTTGTGACCATAGATACCCAAGGAAAATATGACCGTATTTTGGATTTGGACAACAATGACATGTAAGTAAGCATACTTTATAGACCATTGTTTCAATGTTGATGAGCTCAGATATACTTCTTAGACTATAAGTTTCATTCTGCATTTGTGAGTCATAAAACAAATTAATATAACACACGTAGAAAGCATCTACCTGCCTCAGCTTGTAGATAGTAAATTTATTCATTTTCGCGGTGGATTTATTTATGTTAATTTCGTGGATACACCTGTTAGACGAATTCATATTTCCACAAATAAGAAGATTGATTGAACTAAATGTTTTTAAAAAGTAATTGTCCATAATAATTATAGATGAAACAAATACTTGAACATTTTTTATTGTTTGATGGAAATTAGAGGTTATACCTGTTGTCATATCACGATTTGGATTATCGTTATATACTGGCTGTCTGCACCTATTTGAGATAATATAATGAGGCATAATTTTAACATGAGTCGAATTCGAGTAATAAAATATCCAATTCGCTATCTCATTTTATATTTTGTATATTTTATATACATTTAAGACTAGCAAGAAAAGATCAGCAATTTTATTATCATTATTTCATAATTTTAATTCCAAATCAATTAAACGAGGGAATGGTGTATGAAAAAAAGGAATTTTAACATTGAGCATCTGGAAAATGTGGAATAGTTAGTTAGTTAGTTAGTTAGTTAGTTAGTTAGTCAGTCAGTCAGTCAGTCATCTAGTTAGTTCGTTAGTTAGTTAGTTAATCAGTTAGTAAGTTAGTTACAGGTTTTCCATCTTCGCGACTCCTCCCGTTTCCGGGCACTGTCTCATCGACGAATTTCATTGACATCACCCTCAGATGAGTGTAGCTGTCTGTAGCGGTGTGTCTTTGATTATGCTAGTTTTTAAGACGGCTCCGGATCCTGATAATGTCGTATCCTAACTCTAGCAGTCTGAAACATGTCCAGAATTCGAAAGGAGAGATTATGAGACTCTAAAGATTCGGTTTAGGTAAGGATATTTTTAAGTCCTTCAGGTGCCTCAAAAATGTGTGGACAGTTCACATACGAGCTATATGTAGAAAGAGAATATTACAATGACATTCCATGAAGGTTCAGCGTCTTCGGCTTCATCAACGACACCTGACACCCAAGTAATGTTATAATCGCAAAAGAGAATAATATTTATTTACGTAGAAATGCTACAATATTAAGACAAGCAAAAAAAGCCCTGTCCCTATATTGCATCCAGAACTTCTTTCTATATTCTTTGCTTTCAGTAAAATAATCATGAATTAACTCTTGCTCGCTGCTGACTGGTACCAAATCGTTGATGATAAAAGTTCAGAAATGTATTACCTAGAGGAAGACTTAGATGAAAACCAGTTAAGAAAATAAATGAATTCGCTCTGCCTTCACTCCCAACCCCAGTCCCTAATACTGCGGTAACCTAATAAGCCATACTTTGAGTGGAAAATCCCCCCTCATCCAAGTATCACGATGGATGAGAGGGATTCTCTGTAATGAAGCCCGGAGGCTGGAGAGTTAAATAATATGCACTTGTCAACCTGTTGGGTGCGCGACACTGAAGTTCAAAGTTGAAAATTATCTTATCGATATTGCATTGCACGTGCCTGACCCATGTGAGAGGTCACCATATAAAAAGACATAACCAAGCCTAGACACACGCTTATTTCAAAGAGAATTGTTGGCAGATTGTGTGCAACTATAGGGTGGGAGATCCAAAACTAAACAGCAGAAATAGAAACCCAGAGACTTGGGAGGGTATTTAACTCTCCAGCCTCCGGGCTTCATTACAGAGAATCCCTCTCATCCATCGTGATACTTGGATGAGGGGGGGATTCTCTTCCATTCAGCCATACGGCTTACTAGTTTAATAATATGCACCTTCAAAGAATCCGCCAACATTCCAGATAACCATGAAAAAGAAAACCAAACTGCAACTCAAGTTCACTCATTCATTAGTATTTCAAAATTACATCACATTTCACAAAGTCTATATCATTGACATCTTATCACTGCCCTGTCTGCAGAACACTGGTTGAAAATGAACCCGGGTAGAACCTCCTAAAGCTTTCGGCTGATGCCCAGTTTGCCGTTTCCAGTATGTCCCTCAAGGATGTCCCCGCCGTGTATGCTGCCGACACAGACGCTCCTCTAACTGAATGAGGTTTAAACTGTCGATCAATTCCAGCCGCCATCATCACTTCTCTCATCCATCTTCACACTGTGGAAGTGGACACTTGCAAACCTCTTCTGAAAGAAACTAAAAGTTTATTACTCTTCCGTATGTTTACTGTCTGTGACACATAATATCTTAAGGTTGAAACTACACATAATCTTTCCTGAGAATATTTGTACAATGTTACTTTATAAAATGGCTTTGATGGCTTGGATGTTTTCATAAGTTCTGGGACTGTAAAAACAATATAGTGTCCAAAATCCTGCATATGTTCAAGGTCTAAATTAACCAATGTTTGTGCTCTTTGTGCTGTTGTAAGTGCTATCAAACAAACTAATTTCCTGGTCAATGAATCCACCTCCAGGGCTGTCAAAGGGAACATATCACCCAAATACTTCAGCAAAGGTGCCACATCCCATGTCGATGAATACCTGGGCTTAGGAGGATTAGTGTTGAATACCCCCTTCATAAACCTAGAAATTAGGGCATTGTTCATCAATACTGTATGGCCTAGTAATGGCAAAGTCTGGGACAACATTCACTTATGTGTATTAATAACACTGCAAGATTTCCCTACATTAAACAAATGAGTGAGGTAGGAAATCACTTCCTTGATAGTTGGATGATTGGCACCAACCTGTCGTTCACCACACCAAGAGACCCAGTTATTCCATGCCAAGTCATACTGCTTGGACGTGGACTGTTTCCAGGAGGAGAAGACAAGTGTGGCAGCCTGTCGTGAAAAGCCCTGCTTCTGGAGAGATCTCCTGACACGCAACATGCGATCAGTCTCAGGCTGTTTCTTAAGGGATGCGGCTCCCCCTGTGGGGACAATAGCAAGTCTCGCCACCTCGGCAGGCGTGCGGGGGCATCCACAACAATATTTAATAGAGTAGGTAGCCACGCTTGACTTTTCTATAAGGGAACGATTACTATTGCCATACTTACTTTGTCTTCCTTCACTTTGTGCAGTACACGGCTGATCAGACTGAAAGGAGCAAAAATATACGGTAAGTAGTCTGACCATGACATAGAAAAGGCATCATAAAACCAAGCATCTGGATCAGGATACCATGAGACAAACTTGGTAACCTTAAAATGCAACCTACTTGCAAATAGGTCAACATCTGGATTGAAGAAATGACCACATATCCTGTCAAATATCAGAGGGTGTAATGACCACTCTCCCGAAGACTGCATTGACCGTGATAAGTAATCAGCATCAACATTCAAAACACCCGGTATGTGGCAGGCAGAAATGAAAATATTTCTTTCCGTACACCACAGCCATATCTCTTTTGCTAACTCATTCAGCTCTGTTACATTTCCACCAGGCTTATTAACATATGAAATTGTACAGACGTTATCCGTCACAACCCTGACATGAGTATCAGACATGTCTGAACAAAAACATCGTAATGCCAACCAGACAGCTTTTAATTCCAAAAAATTTATGTGATGTTCACGTTCTGCTTTTGACCAAAGACCTTTTGTTATCTGAGAGCCAAACTTTGCTCCCCATCCATCACCAGATGCATCAGTTTCCATAATCACATCTGGATCACTTGGTCTTATCGCCCGACCATTCATACTGTTCACCTTATCTCTCCACCATACTATCTCCGTTTGTGCCAACCTAGACAAACTGACCTTGTCGTCATAAGACAAACCATTATGTAGGGCTGCTGTCTTTTCCTTGTCTACCAATCTGTAAAATAGCCCTGACAGCCGAACTGCTCTAAGAGATGACGTAAACAAGCCAATGAGACTAGCAAGTTCCCTTAGAGAAATTGACTTTTGACCTAAGACATGGGAACATGCATCTATGATTTTCTTCACCTTTTGTTCTGGTAACGAAACGGTAAATGTGATAGAATCTATCAAGTACCCAAGATGAATGACCATTTGACTAGCAGAAAACAAAGATTTTTCGGAACTAATCTGGAACCCAGCAGATTCCAAAACTCCAGCTAACACCCTACAGTTCCTTTCACAAACCTCTCTGTCAGCAGCCTTGACCAAAGAGTCATCTATGTAATAGAAAGCATGGATACCCAAGCTGCGAACTTTAGCCATAATTGGCTTCAGTACTTTGGTAAATATCCGAGGGGCACTTGTCAAACCGAAAGGCATAGCCATAAACTCATATAGTATACCTCTCCATTTGAATTTCAGGTATTTCCTATGATGTTTGTTCACTGGTATACTGAAATATGCATCCTTTAGATCAATAGAAGTGAAGAAATCACCTCTCTCTACAGATTCTAGTACAACATCTAAGGTCTCCTGCTTAAAATGGTGGTACACCACAAACTCGTTCAACTTCCTCAAATTAATGACTGGCCTAAATTTACTATTTTTTTTTTTTTTTTTTTTTGACCAGGAACAAATTGGAAACAAATTCACCTTTCTCATGAATAGACTGAGTTAATGCCCCTTTGGATACTAAATCATTCACCTCAGAATCAACAATATCCATCTCTTCCTTACTAAAAGCTACTGGTCCTGGCAATTTATGTTGCACAGGGATTTCTACAAACTCAAGTGTAAGACCACGCACAGTATCCAAAATTCATTCATCATCAGTCAATGATTTCCAAAATTCTAAACGCTCTCCGATTCTACCAGATGGAACACTCACCTTAGGGGCTATTCTTTTTTCTGTGTCTGGCTCTGGCTTTGACTTTGCTGCATGTTTGCGGGTCGCCGTTGTCCCCGGCCCCGCTGGCCCGACCGTAAAAAAGGCCTTGCTGAGCCTCTGTACTGGCTATAGCCCCCTCGCCCTCTCTGGCCGCCACTCCAACCTCCTCGCTGTACCTGTTTTCGTGAAGACAAAACATTGAAAGCCTTATTAGCCTCAGAAATGTCTCTCACCTTCCTGGCAAGATCATCCCCAAATAGATTTGAAGTTATTGGCATGTCTTTCCCACATATGCATGATATGATGGCGGGAGGGCTTGTCTCATAAGAAACCTACGTTTCACAGACAATGTATGTACTGCAATCCCTAGCATGGACAGAGCATCAATACACAGAGGCCTGAACTTCTCTCGAAAGTCTGGATGACTCATAAGAGCCTCAGTCAGCCTCATCACAGGTACCATACCGTCAGACACCAACTTCTGGGCCTCTTTAAGTTGAAAATCTCTTGCCTGTAAAGGCTTACCAAGTTTACCCCAAATCTCAGGGTTACATCGTGGGACGGTCATATCGGCACAATTTGCCGGTACAGGGTATTTTTCTGCCATTTTAGAAACGTCCGACGTTTTCCTACAAGCAGTATTTACAAGTTTGGCAAGTCCCTCGTGAACACTAGGGCCCAACTTTACATCACCATATACATAGTCAGGGATGGCGAACAAGTCCTCCATATGACCTTCCTCTGTGGGTAAAATATCAGAATATATATCATCTAACTCAATGGAAGATTGTTCTGTATCTTGAAGACCCAACGGGTCCGTCATACTAAAAAAATCTGAGTCAAAACTGTCAACAACATAATCATTGCCATACCCACCAGCCGTTTGGTTTCCTGTACGGGAACTCGCCCGGTCCCGCTTAACGTCTGCTAACTGCTCCTCCAGAGCCCTCATACGTTTCGCCATGAGTTGAAACTCGCTACCAGCGGCAGCCTCAGTGCAGACGGGACGTTTCTTACCCCCACGGGGCAAAGGAACAGTCGGGGCATCGCCTCCGACGCCGCCATATTTGTCATTCCGAACAACGTTCGGTGACTGCGGCTGTGCAGAGTCCTTATCACTTGCACAAGCGACAGAGTCGCTTAGACCCGAACTCAAATCGGAAAGGGGTCCCGGAAAGAAATCATCACACCCCTCTACCTCCGTCTCTCCGGGATGGAGAGAGAGGTCATCGTCAGAATTATCGAAAGTCACCGACAAAGGCAACCGTTTACCGCGAGCCTGCTTACGACGCATAACCGTACAGCTGATAACCAAATGTAAACAAATGAAATTCGCGGAGCGAAGGAAAGGAATCAATAAAAATAAGTTCAAATGGCTGAAACTTTACCAAGCAAATGCAAATCGCGGACGCGAGACCTGCAAGATATCCTTCCCTTCTGGCTTAATGTCTGTCACGCACCCTGACTGACAAAAAAGCGTGTGTCTAGGCTTGGTTATGTCTTTTTATATGGTGACCTCTCACATGGGTCAGGCACGTGCAATGCAATATCGATAAGATAATTTTCAACTTTGAACTTCAGTGTCGCGCACCCAATAGGTTGACAAGTGCATATTATTTAACTAGTTAGCCGTAGGGCTGAATGGAGAATACAAAATATAGTTTATCTATAAACACACAACATATACACGTATACAATATATATACAAAATATAGTTTATCTATAAACACACAACATATACACGGATACAAAATATAGTTTATCTATAAACACACAACATATACACGATTTATAAAATTTATACTTATAATAGCATTTTACTTTACATATAAAATATTACCAGCTATGGAAATATGATTTTTCACACACACACATTAAAACGTTACCTCCCCGAGGTATGTATACAAATACTATCACACAAAGAGTAAAGGTAACTAGTATTACTTATGATAATTTCCTGGCCAATCATCGGAGTATAAAGTCGCTGAAGTTGCTGTGGCTATGAGGACAGTAGGACAGTTGGCACATCGCCCTGTTTTATCAAAAATCAGGTTTAAAAATTAATTCAGAAATAAATTAATCAGTATCCAATCACACATATTTTTACATCCAAATAAGTGAGGGCTTAACGACACAGAAAAGGTTCACAATGTATAAATGTGAGAGATTAATAAGAACAAATGTGGATTAACATGCCCGATAAGTCAAGACCCTTATTGATCTTACAGTATCTAACTCTAGACTTGTATCAGATCGCGTTATTCACTTGTGTGTATTTTGTCCAAATTTTCATGTTGTTTAGCCGGTTTTATCCTCGGTTTCATATCTTCGTACTGATGATGCAATAATATATATAGTCATCGAGATCCAGTCGCTATAAGCAAACAGATAACCGTGGCAGATCGGTCTGTCCCCTTTATATCTATTTTGAGGACAGGATGATCACATAATTAAGACCAAGAGTTCCTCGGAACTGTATGTCTCGCCTGCATAATGTGTCACGGTCACAAAGAAATTAAACTGGGTGTGCAACGATCAACCATAAAGTTTAATACCAAATTTCATTTATATAGCTTGAAGCATAAAGGGAAAACTGCGCAAAGCAATATTCCTGAGAAATTTTCCAAGTTCATAGGGACATATCACTGCCAAGAAGGGTCACAGACAGCCAGGAATCAAACTTAATCTGTACCCTTGCAATAAGAAGCCATATACCAAATTTCATTTCGATAACTCAAAGCATAAGCCAAAAAAGTCCGGAAAACAATATTCCCAGGAAATTTTCTAAGTTGAAAGGGGCATAACTCTGCCAAAAAGGGTTACAGACTGTCAGGAATCAGACTTAATATGTACCCTTGCAACTAAAAGCCATATGCCAAATTTCATTTTGATAACTCAAAGCATTACCGAAAAAAGTCCGGAAAACTTTCGTACTGACGACGCCGATGACGACGACGACGCGTGACGACGGACAAAGTGATCCCTAAGTGTCAGCCAGCTCTGCAGGCGACACAACAAAACTAGCAGTCACGGGTCAAAAATGTTTTAGTTGAACTGAACAGTTACAACATATAAAGAACACTGTATCACCCCATAACTTGGTCATCTCAGTTAAACTTTCTCAGTTAGCTTCCTCGTAAAACTTTTTCAGTTTTAATATTTAACTTTCTCATCTAGCCTTCTCATTTAACTTTCTCGGCTCACTTTGTTAAATAATTCTCTCAGTAAGCTTTCTCATTTAAAATTCTCACTTAGCTTTCTCTTATGATTATTTCATTAAAGTATCTCTGTCTACTTCCTCTTTTACTTATTTTCGTTTGGCTTTCTTCGTTACATTTTCTCAATTAGTCTTCAGTTATAATTCACGATGTGTATTCAAAAATGGAATCCAGTGTCTTGTTGTCATTTCGAGGAAACGGAGAGGGGGGAGGGGGAGGAGTGGGGGATGGTTCTAATTTATTATCGATCAGGTCTCTTGGACGATTTTGCTTTTGTTTCCATATGTGCTCTTTCTAATAATTGAGTATCATAACACATTAATTAATATATACATCAACTATCTACCAGCCAATCACAGTTAGACTATGATATGACAGTTAGGACATGTGATTTTATTTGCCAGTGACAACGTCAGACCCTTTAACTATTAAACGATATACAGTTAGATACCATGGCTGCAATGTTTCATTTACAATATGATGTTATCATTATAAAAACTGTTTTTACAGACTTCAAGCGGAACTCTTCAACTTCGGAGTTACAGAAGTCATAATAAAAGTTACCTCCAATCAGAATGTGAAATAATTGACTATCGTCTATGACAAGCAAATATGCACTGAACAGCATATCACTTATATTTATGACATGGATGGCTTCATCTTCATCACGTGACCACGATCATGACATAATTCATATTGAGACAACAATGTCATGGTATCATGTCATAATAAACAACTTCCTAATTCTCAGGGAATATTATACACGATTTCCAAAGCTGGTATGGAATAAACTTGTCTTGTATGAAAACGAACCTAGAAAAGTCAACATTATTGCACATCCTATTTAACCAGGCTTTTTCTTTATATATATGTACAGCTTGTTAACCCTCCACCATCCACCTTGTCTTAAGCGGACTCCATCCATCCTTCATGTATTCCAAAATTGATTTATATATATTACACTTTCTCAGTTCGCTTTCTTACATAACTCTCTCAGTAAGTTTTCTCATTAACTTACTAGATCTAACACAAAACCATGCCTAAAATTATTTTTCTGCATCTAGATTTGCAAACCAAATTCTTGTTAATATTGTACGAGACAATACTGTCTTCTGATCCAATCTACAAAGGCTACCGAAAAGTAACAACTTTATACTATCAATATACTCTTCTCTACTAGTCCAAGCTAAAAGGCCGGTATTCATATCAGTTCTTGTTCGGGTCATACAAAGCTGAAATCTTTAGTCTTAAGTATCTTACCAGTAGTTAGAGGATGTAAA